AAATATTAAAATACTTTGGTCTCAAACCCCCCCATTATTATTTTTTATTTATTTTATTTTATTTTATTTTTTGTGGTACTGAGGGTTGAACTCACGACCTTGTGCTTGCCAGGCAGGCGCTTATGCCACTGAGCTATATCCCCAGCCCCCCCAAATTATTTTAATATAGTGCAGGTCATATTAAACCTAGCCTACATTTTTTCTTTAGTGATACTGAGGACTGAACCCAGGAGTTATATCCTCAGCCCTTTTTATTTTTTATTCTGAGACAAGGTCTCACTAAGTTGCTAAGTTGCCCAGGGTGGGCACAAACTTTTGATCCTCCTGCCTCACCCTCCCTGAGTACTGGGATTACAGGTACAATACACCTCCGAGAAGTCATGACTGAGAGTTCATGGCCTCAGTTGTCGGTGGATTTTTCCTTAGAACGTAACTAATAATTGTTTGAAGGAAACTCCCACAATTTCTTGGCAAAGGCAAATATCCTCCGCAATTTTTATTGGCAAGAGATTAGCAAGTAACCAATCTGAGAACGGATTCAGTTCTCCTCGCTGCTGATTGGCTGCTGCCCTGTGACCCATCTCTGGCAGATGCACCAGCATTGCCCCATCATAACAGGTTGCTATACCCTCTGTAGCTATCTTGTGTTCTCGGTTTTGCTCTCCTTAAAGTCTTAAGATCCCTAAGATGCCTCCCAAATGCCCTACGCCTTCTAAGGCTTTATTCATACAGTATTTTATTAAATTAAATTACATAACTGTGGGAAACATAACATATATAGGTTTTAAACTATAAAATTAGGCATGTTTCTGACAATATCTGAAATTCACAGTTTTTCACAATTCACAGGTACTCTAAGAATGTAATCCCCATGAATTTCGGGGGTTCACTATATTACAACCACATCCTCTAGCTGTATTACTTTATTTTATGTTGTTGTTGTTTGTTTGTTTGCTTTTGAGACATGAGTCAATATCTAGTCCAAGCTGGTCTTGAACTCACTATGTAGCCCAGCCTGGTATTGAACTTCCCATGCTCCTCCTGCCTCAGCCTCCCACGTGCTGGGATTAAAGGCATGCACCACCTCTCCCAGATAGCTGCACTTTTTATATAATTTATTGGTTTCCAGTTTGTGACCTCTGATGTATTCCTTTTTAATGATTAGAAAGTTCTCATGTTTCATTTTGAGTACCATCTGTCCTGATAAGCACCATACAGGAAAACCTAGCAAAGTCACAGGGCAGGGAGAAAAGCATGGGATCAGAACATAGGAAGGCAGATAGTTTTATGAATTTCATGCTGGGATAATACACAAAAAAATTGGAGTCTAGCATGGTGCTGCATGCCTGTAATCCCAGCACTCA